GTATGAGTGTGTGTGTGTGGAGTAAAGGTGATCTAGAGTTTTTCTTGCCTCTAGTTGCACAGGTGACATGCTGCATTACAATCACCGGCCACTAGGATCACAGCCTCTGGATGAACATTTTCTTGTTCGCTTATAGCCCTATACTGCTCATTGAGTGCAGTCTTAGTGCCAGCCTCGGTTTGTGGTGGTAAATGGACAGCTATGAAAAATATAGATAAATTCTCTTGATAAATAGTATGGTCTAAAGCTTAGCATGAGTTATTCTAACTCAGGCGAGCAGAACCTCGAGACTCCTTTAATATTAGAGATCGCGCTCCAGCTGTTGTTAACAAACACACCACCCTCCTTGAGCTTTCCTGACGCTGCCGTTCTGTCCTGCCGATGCATAGCAACACCAGCTAGAATATTATCCATGTCCTTGTTCAGCCAAGTTTCAGAGAAACATAGAATATTACAGTTCTTCAGGTCCCTTTTGATTAAACAGAGCTCATCCAGTTTGTTCTCCATTATACATCCGGTGTACATTCGCTAATAGAACAGAGGGTAGAGGCTGTTTATTTGCTCGCTGACGTAGTTTCATCAGCCACCTTGCTTGCCTCTGAAGCTAAGCAGGGTTGGTCCTGGTCAGTCCCTGGATGGGAGACCAGATGCTGATGGAAGTGGTGTTGGAGGGCCAGTAGGAGGCACTCTTTCCTCAGGTCAAAAAAATAAATATATATATATCCCAATGCCCCAGGGCAGTGATTGGGTACATTGCCCTGTGTAGGGTGCCGCTTTTCGGATGGGATGTTTAACAGGTTTCCTGACTCTCTGGTCACTAAAGATCCCATGGCACTTATCGTAAGAGTAGGGCTGTTAAACCCGGTGTCCTGGCTAATTTCCCAATCTTCATCATCCCCAGCTTCCAATTGGTTCATTTATCCCCCCTCCTCTCCCCTGTAACTATTCCCCAGGTTGTTGCTGTAAATGAGAATGTGTTGTCTGTCAACTTACCTGGTAAAATAAGGGTAAAATAAAAAAATATCTCAATAATAATCAGGGTATCTAGATTCTAGTTTGGGAACAGAACTGTATTGAGATTGGGCTTTTGTTCGATGAGGACATCAGCAAAATGTAGGCCCAGTTCCATCTCGCTCCATACACTCCCACTGCCAGCCACTGGCCTTCCTCTCCTCCGGAAATTCCAACCGGATGCTTCAGATTTATACATCCGGTGAAACATCTGGCTCTTTGTTCTATCTGTGCTAACTTTACCCTAGCTAGATAGCTAACTAAGTTAGCTAGTTAGTTACTGGAAAGGAGCAAGTTACAAGTAGTACCTTGCTAGCTATTGCTAATGCAAGCCTGCAGCTAACTTTGCTAACTCGCCAGCAGTTATTCATCAGTTGTCAGTATTATGACACTTTCAAGACAATTCGGCACTCGGAAATGTCAGACTTGGAAACTCTTTGTAGGAAAATTAGCTCTGAGTTTCCCACTTGAAAAATATCAGAATTGACCAATAGGATGCTCTAAGCAAAAAAACTTACAGAAATGTTAACTCTGAGTTTCCGAGTTGTTGTTTTGAAAGCACCATTAGCTAGCTAGTCAGAACAGACCATGATTGTTCAAAGGTGTGACTAGACCAGTGGTGTTCGAAACCACCTAAAGAGACAGACCAAGACCATTGCAAATCAAGACCAACACGGGGGGGAACATATGGATTGGATTCTATAGCCATTCAGAATGGTGGAAAAATATATTCTGAGGGCATATAGTCCTCTTCAAATTATCACTAACCATTGCCAACACCTCCTTTGGCCGCCATTCCTTCCAGTTCTCTGCTGCCAATGACTGGAACGAATTGCAAAAATCTCTGAAGCTGACAAACTATTACAATTTTCCCAGATCTTCTAGGGGAGCAAGGAAATTCCGAAGAGCGTGACAAGGTTTGAGAATATGTTTCAACAAAAGTAAAGGACAGTAATGTTACGAGTAAAGTAGAAAGCCCAGGTTTTAATAGGCTATAAGATATAAATGTCATGAATGGAGTGTGGATCTCTGGCCTGGCAAAGCGCTGACTGAACATGGGCTGATAATTATTTATTTTTTTACTCCACTGAGGCCTCATCTATAAACCTTGCGTAACCACAAAATATGCCCCAAAACATGCGTGTGCCAGTTATCATGCAAAAGTTGGCTCTTGACCTAAGAATGTGCTTATCCTCCCGCAAACTTTAGACCATGCGTTCGCACAGTTTCTAGTGGTTGAGGTATTGCATTTCAAGAATGCAAAAGTAGGCTAGTAGTAGCCTTGTGCAAATGGGAAAATACAGTATGATGACACGCTTATTCATTAAAAAAAGTAACAGGTAGCTGATATAATAACGAGATGCAATCATTTGCCGTTAGTGATAAGAGCAAAAATCTAGGCCTATATATTTTATTTGGATTCTAAAATAATTAGAAATAGTCACCTATTTCCTATTTATTTCATTTCCATGATCATTGCAGAATAAATTCCTCACCTTTTCTAACTCGTGGTTTCATACTCGGGGAAATACACTGAACAAAAATATAAACGCAACATGTATAGTGTTGGTTTCATGAGCTGAAATGATCCCAGAAATTTTCCATATGCACAAAAAGCTTATTTCTCTAAAAAATGTTGCGCAAATTTGTTTACATCCCTGTTTGTGAGCATTTCCCCTTTGCCAAGATAATCCATCCACCTGACAGGTTTGGCATATCAAGAAGCTGATTAAACAGCATGCTCATTACACAGGTGACCCAAACTAAATGCATGCTCTTCAATCGAACGCTGCTGGCACCCGCCCACCCGACTAGAATCACCACTCTCGACGGGTCTGACCTAGAGTATGTGGACAACTACAAATACCTAGGTGTCTGGTTAGACTGTAAACTCTCCTTCCAGACTCACATTAAGAATCTCCAATCCAAAGTTAAATCTAGAATCGGCTTCCTATTTCGCAACAAAGCCTCCTTCACTCATGCTGCCAAACATGCCCTCGTAAAACTGACTATCCTACCGATCCTTGACTTCGGCGATGTAATTTACAAAATAGCCTCCAACACTCTACTCAGCAAATTGGATGTAGTCTATCACAGTGCCATCCGTTTTGTCACCAAAGCCCCATACACTACCTACCACTGTGACCTGTACGCTCTTGTTGGCTGGTCCTCACTACATGTTCGTCGTCAAACCCACTGGCTCCAGGCCATCCAAATCCCAGCCTTATCTTAGCTCATTGGTCACCATAGCAGCACCCACCCGTAGTCTGCACTCCAGCAGGTATATCTCACTGGTCATTCCCAAAGCCAACACCTCCTTTGGCCGCCATTCCTTCCAGTTCTCTGCTGCCAATGACTTGAACGAATTGCAAAAATCTCTGAAACTGGAGACTCTTATCTCCCTCACTAACTTCAAGCATCAGTTGTCAGAGCACCTTACCGATCACTGCACCTGTACACAGCCCATCTGAAATTAGCCCACCCAACTACCTCATCCCTATATTGTTATTTATTTTGCTCTTTTGCACCCCAGTATCTCTATTTGCACATAATCTCTTGCACATCTAGCATTCCAGTGTTAATACTAATTGTAATTATTTTGCACTATAGCCTATTTATTGCCTTACCTCCATAACTTGCTACATTTGCACACATTTGCACACACTGTATATATATTTTCTGTTGTGTTTTTTGACTTTGTTTTTTTACCCCATATGTAACTCTGTGTTGTTGTTTTTATCGCACTGCTTTGCTTTATCTTGGCCAGGTCGCAGTTGTAAATGAGAACTTGTTCTCAACTGGCTTACCTGGTTAAATAAAGGTTAAATAAAATAAATAAAAAATTGTGCTGGGGACAAAAGGCCTCTCTAAAATGTGCAGTTTTGTCACATAACACAATCTGTGCAATTGGCATGCTGACTGCAGGAATGCCCTCCAGAGCTGTTGCCAGAGAATGTAATGTTCATTTCTCTAACATAAGCCGCCACAACGTCATTTTTGAGAATATGGCAGTACGACTATGTGTATGGCGTCATGTGGGTAAGCGGTTTGCTGATGTCAAGGTTGTGAAAGATGGGTGTTTTTCAGGTGGAGTTAGAATGCTTGTTTATGCTTGCGCAGTTTTACAACAGGTCTGATTTCTAACGGGATACATGCATGTGTATGGCTTGCGGCAAGTTTATAAATCTCAATAATTTTGTGAGTGCGCAGTCTTTTCAGAAATGGGGCTTGCAGATATTTATAACGGTTATAAATTAGGCCCCTGGTCTTGTCTGGTCTCGTGAAAAAATTATGAGTCCTCATTGACCGAGCAAAAATGCATCAGAGACCGAGACACTCAATATGTGATCTCGAGACCGGACTACAACACTTGACAAGACGCATACAAATTGGAACCACAAACAAAACCATTGTAAAAGCACCACCATCTCCAATTCCAAATCACATGGGCATGGCTATCCGTGTCATTTATTGAAATCATGTAGTTCAAGATTGACCCAATGGTTTGGTGAAACATATGCAAAATGTGATCATTATTTGACCCTGCTGGTCATCTATGAACGTTTGAACATCTTGGAGAAAAATCTGGCCTTAATGGTGGCCATGTACTGTTATAATCTCCACCCGGCACAGCCAGAAGGGGACTGGCCACCCCTCAGAGCCTGGCTCCTCTCTAGGTTTCTTCCTAGGTTTCTGGCTTTCTAGGGAGTTTTTTCTAGCCACCGTGCTTCTACATCTGCATTGCTTGCTGTTTGGGGTTTTAGGCAGGGTTTCTGTATAGCACTTTGTGACATCTGCTGATGTAAAAAGGGCTTTATAAATACATTTGATTGATTTGATTGTTGTTGTAATGTTTCTGTTTTCCAGGAGTGCGACACAAGTCGTCTACAGTGCAGTATGCAACACGCCCTGACCTGCCGAAGCTGGCTTATAGAAAAGTGAAGGGGAAGAGCCCAGGTGTAGTCTTCTTGCCAGGGTTTGCTTCTAACATGGGTGGGAAGAAAGCAGATGCCCTTGAGGAGTTCTGCCAATCACTAGGCCACTCTTACCTAAGGTAAATTAGAAAAATAGAGCTGTCTGATATCTCTCTCTCTACATGCATCCATGCATGTACAGTGGGGAGAACAAGTATTTGATACACTGCTGATTTTGCAGGTTTTCCTACTTACAAAGCATGTAGAGGTCTGTAATTTTTATCATAGGTACACTTCAACTGTGAGAGATGGAATCTAAAACAAAAATCCAGAAAATCACATTGTATGATTTTAAAGTAATTAATTTGCATTTTATTGCATGACATAAGTATTTGATCACCTACCAACCAGTAAGAATTCCGGCTCTCACAGACCTGTTAGTTTTTCTTTAAGAAGCCCTCCTGTTCCCTACTCATTACCTGTATTAACTGCACCTGTTTGAACTCGTTACCTGTATAAAAGACACCTGTCCACACACTCAATCAAACAGACTCCAACCTCTCCACAATGGCCAAGACCAGAGAGCTGTGTAAGGACATCAGGGATAAAATTGTAGACCTGCACAAGGCTGGGATGGGCTACAGGACAATAGGCAAGCAGCTTGGTGAGAAGGCAACAACTGTTGGCGCAATTATTAGAAAATGGAAGAAGTTCAAGATGATGGTCAATCATCCTCGGTCTGGGGCTCCATGCAAGATCTCACCTCGTGGGGGAAGGTGTGGGATCAGCCCAGAACTACACGGCAGGACCTGGTCAATGACCTGAAGAGAGCTGGGACCACAGTCTCAAAGAAAACCATTAGTAAGGTCCCCCTGCTCAAGCCAGCGCATGTCCAGGCCCGTCTGAAAAAAGTTTACCAATGACCATCTGGATGATCCAGAGGAGGAATGGGAGAAGGTCATGTGTTCTGATGAGACAAAAATAGAGCTTTTTGGTCTAAACTCCACTCGCCGTATTTGGAGGAAGAAGAAGGATGAGTACAACCCCAAGAACACCATCCCAACCGTGAAGCATGGAGGTGGAAACATCATTCTTTGGGGATGCTTTTCTGCAAAGGGGACAGGACGACTGCACCGTATTGAGGGGAGGATGGATGGGGCCATGTATCGTGAGATCTTGGCCAACAACCTCCTTCCCTCAGTAAGAGCATTGAAGATGGATCGTGGCTGGGTCTTCCAGCATGACAACGACCTGAAACACACAGCCAGGGCAACTAAGGAGTGGCTCCGTAAGAAGCATCTCAAGGTCCTGGAGTGGCCTAGCCAGTCTCCAGACCTGAACCCAATAGAAAATCTTTGGAGGGAGCTGAAAGTCTGTATTTCCCAGCCCCGAAACCTGAAGGATCTGGAGAAGGTCTGTATGGAGGAGTGGGCCAAAATCCCTGCTGCAGTGTGTGCAAACCTGGTCAAGACCTACAGGAGACGTATGATCTCTGTAATTGCAAACAAAGGTTTCTGTACCAAAAATTTAGTTCTGCTTTTCTGATGTATCAAATACTTATGTCATGCAATAAAATGCAAATTAATTACTTAAAAATCATACAATGTGATTTTCTGGATTTTTGTTTGTAAGTAGGAAAACCTGCAAAATCGGCAGTGTATCAAATACTTGTTCTCCCCACTGTATGTATGTCATTCCTTGAATTGGTCAGGAATTGTTGCCAATGTTTTTTGCCTGCATTGCTCTCATTGAGTTATAGGCTGCCATCATGACGATGTAGGCTATCTGGTCTTTCCCAGGTTTGACTATACAGGCTGTGGGTCATCTGAAGGTGAAATGGTAGACGGCACTGTCGGCACTTGGAAGAAGGATGTTCTATATGTATTGGATGAGCTTGTGGAGGGGCCACAAGTAAGGCGCTCCTCTCTGATTCTATGATGAGAAGAATTCTAATCAGCCAGTGTAATACAAAGTATTAATACCTGAAGTAGACCTGCACACTCATGTATAATAGTGTATATGTAAAACTGTTACAGATTGCAGTGTGAATTGACCACTGAGTTAATAATAAACCCAGCCCTGATGGCCATGTGGAGGATATTAGGGTTATTATAGCTCTACTTGGCCTGCACTTGTACAATAAGCCTTTGATTCCTCCAGCATGCATCATTTACACTAGGGATATCAGTTCTATCATTAGAGGGTCATTTCTGATCTAGATAATTCTTCTGATGTTGCAGATTCTGGTTGGCTCCAGTATGGGCGGCTGGCTGATGTGCCTGGCAGCCATAGCTCGTCCAGAAAGAACTGCAGCCATGGTTGGCATCTCTACAGCAGCTGACCACTTTGTAACTGTCTTCAATACACTTCCTATTGAGGTGAGTCAGCATTCAGAGTAAGCCATCTTGAGTTGTCAATAACCTTAAAGGGCTCTACAGACCAATGCATTTTTCCCCTCATGACAGACACTTGATTAAATGGGGCATATCAATAAACCGAAGGTGGGTTCAAAGCAAAGGGAACAAAAAATCCTTAATTCTGAAATCCATGCAGTTAGTCTTGAAATCGCAATAACAAAATTCAGATGGCATTATAGTAAAAACGTATTTCCTGAGGACATTTTCGAATGGTTGCCATCTTAGACAATGTCTCCACCCCTAAAATCTAATTTAAGCATTTTGTCTAAATACCACCTGCCTGTCATTCTAGGCAAGAAAGGAGATTGAAGAGAAGGGGCAGTGGGTGGTTCCTACCAAACACAACGAGGAGGGCTCCATCACGTTCACCACAGAGTTCCTGAAGGAGGCAGAGCAGCACTGCATTCTGCAGAGCCCCATTCCAGTGACCTGCCCTGTGAGGCTCATCCATGGGATGAAGGACCAGGATGTGCCCTGGCACATCTCCATGCAGGTAGCTGAGCGTGTGCTTAGCAATGACGTTGACGTAATCTTGCGCAAGCATGGCCAGCACCGCATGGTAGAAAAGGAAGACATCAAGCTCATAGTTTACACCATCGATGACCTAATAGACAAGCTGACCACTTTGGTTTGAGTGGGCAAAACTGGACCATGCTATGGGTGACACCTACTACCCCGATCCCAACATTTCCGCACTCCGACTGCTCTGTTCCTGATGCGTTACAAAATCAAGGTGCCACTGTACAAAATACATACAGTGAAGATAAGGACCTCTTACATTTTCTCCTGGCTCTCTCCATACCTTTTGTTAGGATTTTTATTTACCAGTGCCATTCCACTTTGTCACTTTGTTCACAGTACCACCGAACTTCTTGGGCATTCTGTGAACAGTTTTTTATGTATTCTCACAATGTGGTCAGATAGTAATTCCGTTAAACCGTCAATGAGGAACGTTACGTCCACTTGCGAGAAAACATTTATTTTATCCACTGTCAATTTTACTCCAACAAACACAAGTGTAATGGGCAGTTTTGCCTTTATGTATGTGCACTTAAAGACCAGTAAGAGGCAGCAAATGTCACTAGTATTTTAGGCACTTCACTATGTAACAGTCTCCAGCAGAAGAAATCGCTGGGGGGTTGTCTGTGGAGAGATCAGTTGGAAAAAGGACTTTCTTCATCTGTACTGTATGATTCTCGTGCTGATATCCATGCACTGCCCATTTCCCATGCTGTCCATATTTGCGCTTTTGGTTCCATTGCTGACAGAACAAATCTATTTTCGCATTGATTTGTCCATGCCATTTGACTTTGCACACAAGGTCAGAACAGAATATTGACTGCATGGCAACTCATGTATGAAGAACTCGAGCATTGTGTGTTATTTTTTAAATGTATTGTAATGAGGGAACTTTATTGAGATTCAACTGACGTCACTGGGTTACTTTCAATGTTGGCTCAGTTCATGTGGGTTTTGTTGCTAGTGGGTCCTATTCCAAAATTACACAGATCTCAAAGAAACGATTGAACAGTAGCATCATGAGATGTTAGCCTGGTTTGAGTGACTAGCACAAAAGCACGTTTCTTGGGAGTTGTTAGGTGAAAAACATTGCCGTGTAGGCAGCAGCCCATGTTTAGATTTTCCTGTTTAGTATAGTAAACATTCTGTTTTGCTGGTTAAAGCCAGGTTCCTCTTGTTGGTTTCCAACATATCACAACCTAGATCCTGAATGTTTAATCTTGTGAACAAAGTTTATTTATGACATGTTTCATATCACAGTTAAATGTTTATAGGTGATATTACTGTGGCAGAATTGATGGGCTAGTTCACTGAAACACAATGGCCATACCTGTATATTGATGATAACAAGCAATACCATCTGAAGCTTATGCCAATAAACAAAGTACCAAAATGTATGGATCTGGCTTTTTTAAATATATATTTTCTATTGTTTCTCTCATACCTATCTGGTTTCATTTGAGTTTTTATTTTAAATGAGCCATTTCCCAAAGTTTATGAAGTGTATCTCATTTCTTAACATATACACTGAGTATACCAAACATATTAGGAACACCTTCCTAATATTGAGTTGCACCCACCCTCCCCCTTTTGTCCACAGAACAGCCTCGATTCGTCGGGGCATGGACTCCACAATGTGTCGAAAGCGTTCCTCAGGGATGCTGGCCCATGTTGACTCAATAGCCTCCCACAGTTGTCAAGTTGGCTGAATGTCCTTAGGGTGGTGGACCATTCTTGATACACACGAGTGTGGAAAAACCCAGCAACGTTGTAGTTCTTGACACAAACCGGTGCGCCTGGCACCTACTACCATACCCTGTTCAAAGGCACTTCAATATTTTTTCTTGCCCATTCACCCTCTAAATGGCACACATACACAATCCATTTCAGTTGTTAGCTGGAATTCTATCTCTCATTGATTATATACAGTGCCTTGCAAAAGTATTCATCCCCCTTGGCATTTTTCCTATTTTGTTGCATTACAACCTGTAACTTAAATGGATTTTTATTTGGATTTCATGTAATGGACATACACAAAATAGTCAAAATTGGTGAAGTGAAATGGAAAAAAATATGAATAAAGCCATAGATTTTTGAGATGGCAAGTGATCCATGCAGTTACAGGTGAAAAAGTAGACCCAATGCTAATGAGGGTTGCTGTTTCACCTGCAAAAAAAACACGTTTTGTTTTAGCGGTTTACCCAACTGCATTAATATCTTATTTTTTCAGGTCAGAAACATGAAAATTGTGATTTATTTTTACCCTCCTGAGTGGTAAGTGTGTGTATATAAAACGTTTTGGTAAACTTTCAAAAGGCTGGTCTGCAGAAATCTCAAAGATACTGCATTTAATCAATTACTGAACAGAAAAGTGCAATACCAATATTTTTAACAGGAGTTTTCGCTGCTCCATTCATGAAGGAAGAGGAAGCTAAGCGATTCATCAGACTGAAGAGACAATCAGGATACTGGGATCCCAACCACTCTCAGAACCAGTGGGGTTACACTATTCAAGAACAGGTGCCACATCTACCAGTGTATTTTGTGTATGGATTTAGGATTTTGTATTGCCTTTGACCAGTTTAGGCTTTCTACCTGTGTAAATGTATGTGTTTGTTTGCATGCCCTTGATATATTACTCTCTACCCAAGGCCAATGAGTACTGGACAGCTCTCCGAACAGATGCACAGTATTATATGGATATGGGACACCTGATGTTCGACCGCTCTGTGGCTATGTGAGTCTATTAAGACAACTGTCACCATCGATAACTGCAATGACACTAAAAACATTTCTTAACAAAGAGCACAGCTTACATACCGGTAATGTGTAATTCTGCTATTGACGTGTTTTTAAATAGTCTGATTGCATGTATTTGTGTTCCAGTGAAAACAACAGGCTCTATATGGAGATGCTGCGGAATGCTCGTGCTCACCTTGACAGTCATACGGTGACAATGGTCAATAGAGGAGCTGTGGAGATGCTCAGCAGCCACAGTCTCATGGATCATATCATCAGCACCTCACAGTGAGGGTGGATGAATACAATCATTTACAGTGAGGGAAAAAAGTATTTGATCCCCTGCTGATTTTGTACGTTTGCCCACTGACAAAGACATTATCAGTCTATAATTTTAATGGTAGGTTTATTTGAACAGTGAGAGACAGAATAACAACCAAAAAATCCAGAAAAACGCATGTCAAAAATGTTATAAATTGATTTGCATTTTAATGAGGGAAATAAGTATTTGACCCCCTCTCAATCAGAAAGATTTCTGGCTCCCAAGTGTCTTTTTATACAAGTAACGAGCTAAGATTAGGAGCACACTCTTAAAGGGAGTGCTCCTAATCAGTTTGTTACCTGTATAAAATACACCTGTCCACAGAAGCAATCATTCAATCAGATTCCAAACTCTCCACCATGGCCAAGACCAAAGAGCTCTCCAAGGATGTCAGGGACAAGATTGTAGACCTACACAAGGCTGGAATGGGCTACAAGACCATCGCCAAGCAGCTTGGTGAGAAGGTGACAACAGTTGGTGCAATTATTCGCAAATGGAAGAAACACAAAAGACCTGTCAATCTCCCTCGGCCTGGGGCTCCATGCAAGATCTCACCTTGTGGAGTTGCAATGATCATGAGAACGGTGAGGAATCAGCCCAGAACTACACGGGAGGATCTTGTCAATGTTCTCAAGGCAGCTGGGACCATAGTCACCAAGAAAACAATTGGTAACACACTACGCCGTGAAGGACTGAATCCTGCAGCGCCCGCAAGTTCCCCCTGCTCAAGAAAGCACATATACAGGGCCGTCTGAAGTTTGCCAATGAACATCTGAATGATTCAGAGGAGAACTGGGTGAAAGTGTTGTGGTCAGATGAGACCAAAATCGAGCTCTTTGGCATCAACTCAACTCGCCGTGTTTGGAGGAGGAGGAATGCTGCCTATGACCCCAAGAACACCATCCCCACCGTCAAACATGGAGGTGGAAACATTATGCTTTGGGGGTGTTTTTCTGCTAAGGGGACAGGACAACCTCACCGCATCAAAGAGACGATGGACGGGGCCATGTACCATCAAATCTTGGGTGAGAACCTCCTTCCCTCAGCCAGGGCATTGAAAATGAGTTGTGGATGGGTATTCCAGCATGACAATGACTCAAATCACATGGCCAAGGCAACAAAGGAGTGGCTCAAGAAGAAACACATTAAGGTCCTGGAGGGGCCTAGCCAGTCTCCAGACCTTAATCCCATAGAAAATCTGTGGAGGGAGATGAAGGTTCGAGTTGCCAAACGTCAGCCTCGAAACCTTAATGACTTGGAGAAGATCTGCAAAGAGGAGTGGAACAAAATCCCTCCTGAGATGTGTGCAAACCTGGTGGCCAACTACAAGAAACATCTGACCTCTGTGATTGCCAACAAGGGTTTTGCCACTAAGTCATGTTTTGCAGAGGGGTCAAATACTTATTTCCCTCACTGTATCTAAATGTGCTTTCTCTACGGTGCTGTCCTTGATGTAAGAGCGTGATTGCACAAGGCATTAACTATGTATTATCCTTTTTATTCTGTCCAAATAAACATTTAAAAAAGGAAAATGCATATTACATTTTTGCACATGCATGATTCGTTTTTGCATAGACATGTTTCATATAACATAGGCAACTGTAACTTTGTGAAATGCATTTAAGAATAAACTATTTTATATTAATAATAATCTGGGTTTAGTTGAGGTGTAAGCCTACTTGCTTGACATGCAGTGCCTTCAGAATGTGTTCACACCCCTTGACTTTTTCCACGTTTTGTGTTACAAGGTGAGATTAAAATTGATTTAATTGTCATTTTATTTGTCAATGATTACACAAAATACTCTGTCAAAGTGGAAGAAAAATTCGAACAAAAAAAGAAACAAATCTTGATTACACAAGTATTCAACCCCCTGACTCAATACATGTTAGAATCACCTTTGACAGCGATTACAGCTATGAGTCTTTCTGGCTTAGTCTCGAAGAGCGTTGCCCACCTGGATTGTACAATATTTCCACATTATTCTTCAAACTCTGTCATGTTGGTGGTTGATCATTGCTAGACAGGCATTTTCAACTCCTGCCATAGATTTCCAAGCAGAATTAAGTCAAAACTGTAACCAGGCCTCTCGGAAACATTCAATGTCATCTTGGTAAGCAACTCCAGTGTATATTTGGCCTTGTTTTAGGTTATTGTCTTGCTGAAAGGTGAATTTGTCTCCCAGTGTCTGTCTGGAAAGCAGACTGAACCAGGTTTTCCTCTAGGATTTTGCATGTGCTTAGCTCCATTCCGTTTCTTTTTATCCTAAAAAGCTCCCTAGTCCTTGCCGATGACAAGCATACCCATAACATGATGCAGCCACTGCCATGCTTGAAAATATGAGGAGTGGTAGTGATGTCTTATGTTGAATTTGACCCAAACATAACGCTTTCTATTCTGGACATAAAGATAATTTCTTTGCCATGTTTATTACAGTTTTACTTTAGTGCCTTATTGCAAACAGGATGCATGTTTTGGAATATTTTTATTCTGTACAGGCTTCCTTTTCACTTTGTCATTTAGGTTAGTATTATGGAGTAACTACAATGTTATTGATCCATCCTCAGTTTTCTCCTATCACAGCCATTAAACTCTTAACTGTTTTAAAGTCACCATTGTCCTCATAGTGAAATCCCTGAGTGGTTTCCGGCAACTGAGTTAGGAAGGATGCCTGTATCGTTGTACTTTTGACATGAGGTATTGTGTGTAGGCCAGTGACACAAAATCTCAATTTAATCCAATTACAATTCAGGCTGTAACACAAAACAATTTGTGAATACTTTCTGAAGGCACTGTATGCCTTGATTCAAATGCCTTGTGAATAAAACAACTGATCCATTGATTAATCAATAAAGAGAAAGCACACAAATATCAACCATAGTCAAATGAATGGGTAAAGAAGGGCCTATCTACAAATCATGCAAATGTAATGATACATTATATTAATTAAATAATTGGAATGAACTCCCAGTAAACTATTTGAAGGGTAAAGTCCTATAGTAACCATTCCTGGACATTATCACTGGATATTGACGTTTCTCCCATTTGGCCATGAATTCATCCCGATAGTATGCTACATCCCCTATCAGAGGCATCAATTGACTCTCGTGGCACTGAAAGCTGTAGCCAGTCCGAGAACGGATGCTGAGTACGGATGCTGAGGTTGGTACTGCATTCCTCAAGATGTCCATTTTTAACAGCATGTGACTGCAGAGCGGGACAAACGACCAGGAACGGAACGAAGCAGACCATACATCAATTGAAAATTCGTAAGTAAACGAATGAAATGGGAAAATGATGTGCATAGACGGAGACTGACATTCCGAATGTGCCTAGATGTATTGCGAACGCTATAATAAATTATTTCATATTGCAAGCACTTACACTATCAGTCTTTTCCCTGGAGGGAGTTAATCCAGGCCGTTTTGCCTACGTTATTTCCTTAACTCGATAGTTCGAGAGGGACTTATTTTTTGGCTGATCCATTTGTCTTTTTATTTAGCCTATGCAAGCAAGTATATTATGGCGTTTTATAAATCAATCCCTGGATGCCATCCAGTGGAGAGTGACAACGCGCGCATCACAGGAGGACTACCAAGCCTATCTTAAAATTCGATCATATTTCCCTCGATTTTTTTTTCGAGAGAAGTATCACACGGTTAAAACATAAATGTAATTATGGAGATTTCAATGTGAAACTAGAGGTGTCCGAATATATTAAGAAAATTGCTGAACTTTATGACTGCGTATCCTTGAAGCTCACAGATGCCCGTATCTAAATATACACATGACATCAGAAATGAAAGCCCAGGGCGGACTTCTGTGTGAGCTGCAATAGAGTGCATTATTTATTAATACAAATAATAAACAGAGAGCAGTGAAATAGTGTATGGCTCCAGTGACACACATCCTCATATTACTAGACTGCAGTTCAAATGTTATGTCTTAATTTACGCACAATAAGTGATTTTGCTTCTAATTTTACAGAAGGGTTGGAGAGATTTTATATTTGTTAAATTGCACCCTTCACCTTGCAGTCACTCTCTTGGAAGAGCTCTAATTCCGGAAGCCATGGCTAACAGAGGACCCAGTTACGGGCTGAGTAGGGAGGTTCAGGAGAAGATAGACCAGAAGTATACTCTGGACCTGGAGGCCAGACTGGTGGACTGGATCATCTTGCAGGTTGGGGGGGACATAGAACGACCAGAGCCTGGGAGACTAAACTTCCAGAGCTGGCTCAAGGATGGAACAGTGAGTCTCTGACACAAACTCTGGTTGACGTAACCTTATGCATGTCTTCATTATTCTAAACCTAACTCTTAAAACACATATACAGATCATCTCAGACTCTAATTCACCATGGTCATAATAGGCCATATTTGATAGCCTTTGCTATTATGGGGTTTCTTCTCCTGGTCCAACCACTGCCACCCCTAATGCTAGGTGGGTGTAGGCCGGTTGTATTCTGTCATTCCATTATTTCATCTCTCGTTGCAGATTCTTTGTAGGCTCATTAACAGCCTCTATCCCCCTGGTCAAGAGCCCATAAAGAAGATCCCAGAGACAAAGATGGTCTTCAAGCAGATGGAGAAGATCTCACAGTTCCTGCAGGCAGCTGAAGCTTATGGGGTGATCACCGGGGACCTTTTCCAGACCGTGGACCTATGGGAAGGTACAGCTCTTCTAATACAGTAGTGACTCCACTCCACCATACACTCACATGCAGCAACCGGTTAGTCCTTATGATAGATAACTTCAGGTATGTGCCATGTATGTGAATATAGCCTTTCAATATAAAATAACTTACTTTGTCAAATCATACATTTATTTTCTACAAAAACAAATTTTTATTATAACCAATGAGGGAACAACATGGACTACAGGAGACCGCAGAGAGAGCACTCCCCCATCCACATCGACAGAGCCGCAGTGGAGAGGGTCAAAAGCTGCAAGTTCCTCGGCGTGCACATCACTGAAGACCTGAAATGGTCCCTTCACACAGACAGCGTGGTGAAGAAAGCTCAACAGCACCTCTTCAACCTCAGGAGAATGAAGAAATGTGTCTTGGCCACTAAGACCCTCACAAACTTCTACAGATGAGGGTGATGCGGTCAGCCCAACGCATCACCGGGGGCACACTGCCTGCCCTCCAGGGCATCTACAGCACCCAGTGTCAAAGGAAGGCCAAGAAGATCATCAAGGACCTCAGCCACCCGAGCCACTGCCTTTTCACCCTTCTACCATCTATCTAGAAGGCGGAGACAGTTCAGGTGCATCAAAGCTGTGATGAAAGACTGAGAAAACAGCTTCTATCTCCAGGCCATCAGACTGTTAAACAGTCACCACTAGCCGGCCTCCACCCAGTACCCTGCCCTGAACCTTAGTCACTGTTACTAGCCGGCTACCACCTGGTACTCTACCCTGCACATTAGAGACTGCTGCTGTATGTCCATAGTCATTGAACACTGGACACTTTAATCATGTTTACATACTGTTTTACCCACTTCATAAGTATATATACTGTATTCTAGTATTCTATAACTACTGCTGTACACACCTTTTCTATTCATATACTGTCCATACAGTCTATAGACACCATTATATACAGTGCATTCGGAAAGTATTCCCTTAACTTTTTTCCACATTTTGTTACGTTACAGCCTTATTCTATAATGGATTAAATTATTTTTCCCCTCATCAATCTACACACAATACCCCATAGTGACAAAGGGAAAACAGATTTTTAGATTTTTAGCCAAAAAATATAAAACAGAATGCCTTATTTACATAAGTATTCAGACCCTTTGCTATGAGACTCGAAATTGAGCTCAGTTGCATCCTGTTTCCATTGATAATCTTTGAGATGTTTCTACAACTTGATTGGAGTCCACCTGTGGTAAATTCAATTGATTGGACATGATTTGGAAAGACACACACCTGTCTATATAAGGTACCACAGTTGACAATGCATGTCAGAGCAAAAACAAAGCCATGAGGTCAGGGAATTGTCCGTAGAGCTCTGAGACAGGATTGTGTCGAGGCACAGATCTGGGGAAGGGTACCAAAAAATGTCTGCAGCATTGAATGTCCCCAAGAACACAGTGGCCTCCATCATTCTTAAATGGAATACGTTTTGAACCACCAAGACTCTTCCTAGAGCTGGCTGCCTGGCCAAACTGAGCAATCGGGGGAGAAGGGCCTTGGTCAGGGAGATGACCAAGAACCCGATGGTCACTCTGACAGAGCTCCAGAATTCCTCTGTGGAAATGGGAGAACCTTCCAGAAGGACAACCATCTCTGCAGCACTCCACCAATCAGACTTTTATGGGAGAGTGGCCAGACGGAAGCCACTCCTCAGTAAAAGGCACATGACAGCCCGCTTGAGTTTGCCAAAAGGCACCAAAGGACTCTTAGACCATGAGAAACAAGATTCTCTGGTCTGATGAAACCAAGATTGAACTCTTTGGCCTGAATGCCAAGCATCACGTCTAGAGGAAACCAGGCACCGCTCATCACCTGGCCAATACCATCCCTACGGTGAAGCATGGTGGTGGCAGCATCATGCTGTGGGGATGTTTTTCAGCGGCAGGGACTGGGAGACTAGTCAGGATCGAGGGAAAGATTAATGGAGCAAAGTACAGAGAGATCCTTGATGAAAACCTGCTCCAGAGCGCTCAGGACCTCAGACTGGAGCAAAGGTTCACCTTCCAATGGGACAACGACACTAAGCACACAGCCAAGACAACGCAGGAGTGGCTTCGGGACAAGTCTCTGAATGTCCTTGAGTGGCCCAGCCAGAGCCAGGACTTGAACCCGATGAAACATCTCTGGAGAGACCTGAAAATAGCTGTGCAGCAACGCACGCCATCCAACCTGACAGAGCTTGAGAGGATCTGTAGTGAAGAATGGGAAAAACTCCCCAAATAGAGGTGTGCCAAGCTTGTAGCATCATGCCCAAAAAGACTTGAGAATGTAATCGCTGCCAAAGGTGCTTCAACAAAGTACTGAGTAAAGGGTCTGAATACCTATTTAAATGTGATATTTCAGTTTTTATTTGTTATACATTTGAAAAATGTATAAAAACCTTTTTGCTTTGTCATTAATGGGTATTGTGTGTAGATTGATGAGGAGGAAAAAAACATTTAACCCTTTTTTCAATTTTCATCTGAAATGATATATCCAAATCTAACTGCCTGTAGCTCAGGACCTGAAGCAAGGATATGCATATTCTTGATACCATTTGAAAGGAAAAACTTTGAAGTTTGTGGAAATTTGAAATTAATGTATAACACATTAGATCTGGTAAAAGATAATACAAACCAAAAAACATGTGTTTTCTAAATATAAATGTTTACAGCATCTTTGAAATGCAAGAGAAAGGCCACAATATAATATTGCAGTTTAGGCGCAATTTAGATTTTGGCCACTAGAAAGCAGCAGTGTGTGCAAAGTTTCAGATTGATCCAGTGAAACGTTGCAATACTGGACTATTTTGTATGAAGTCTGCCCAAGTGTGCAGAATTGGTCAGTTGATACATTTTCAAGTACATAACAATAGAGAACATACAAAAATGATATGGTAATACAAAATGTAAGTTTACACATTCCCAGGAATGTCATACATGATGGATCATTAGCTTATACACTAACTTTCACCCATCTAGATGGCCGGGCGGGGTGGGTGTGGAGCCAGAGACAGCAGAGGTTCAAACTGTAGAATATTTTTGAATATAAAAATGGATTTTATCGAACAAAACTATGCTACATTTTATCTCTAGGACCCTTAGGATGACAAATCAGAGCAAGATTACTGAATGTAAATACATTATTTACCTTCAGAGGTGAATGTATCAAACCAGTTGCCGTGATACATTTTTTTTGTTGTGCACTCTCCTCAAACAATAGCATGGTATTTTTTCACTGTAATAGCTACTGTAAATTGGACAGTGCAGTTAGATTCACAAGAATTTAAGCTTGTCCTGGAAAGTTTGCTGTTACTTACAACAGTCATGCTAATCACATTAGCGCACGTTATCTCAACCGTCCCGTATACGGGACACCGATAAGGCTGCAATGTAACAAAATGTGGAAAAAGTTAAGGGGTCTGAATACTTTCCGAATTATATATATATACAGTACCAGTTAAAAGTTTGGACACACATTCAAGGGTTTTTCTTTATTTTTACTATTTTCATAGTTTTGATGTCATAGTTTTTATGTATATATATATATATATGTATTTGTATAAATGATATGTATATATATATATATTTATATTCTGGTCTCTGACAATGCTTGTTCTGATATTTCTTAATTTTATTTTTCTGGATAATGTATGCATTGTTTGTTTTTTATTGCTAGGTATTACTGCACCGTTGGAGGTACAAACACAAGCATTTTGCTGCACCTGCGATAACATCTGCAAATCTGTGTACGCGACCAATAAACGTTGATTTGACCTACTAAAGCCAAATATGGTATTGAAATGTCTGTCTGGTATTTTGCGTGACTACAGGGAAGGATATGGCTGCCGTGCAAAGGACCTTGTCGGCACTTGGCAGTATGGCACTCACAACGGATGATGGTCAATATCGTGGTGAACCTGATTGGTTTCATAGGTGAGGAACCAATCACGTTAGCTGTTTGTAATGAGTTGTACAAAACAGCAATGATACTGTATGTCCATTTCTTTATTACATACCACTCCAAAATGAACTATTTACAATGAGTCGTATGACTTGACCCATCCCCCCTCTCACCTGTCTGTTTATGTATCGGTTTGTTTACGTTTCATTGCTGTAGGTGTAGGCTTTCCTATCTGACTTGTATCAGTTTGAATCTCCTGTACAAACATCCATCACAGCAGGTAATTCAACAGTTTTGTCTCCTGTGCTTTCAGGAAAGCTCAGGGAAACCGGCGGGATTTTTCTGAGGAGCAGTTGCGTCAAGGCCGCAGACTGATTGGCATGCAGATGGGCGGAAACTCGGGGGCGTCTCAGTCTGGCATGAGGGGGTACGGCATGCCACGCCAGATAATGTAAAAATGTCATTTGGCTCCCCTAAATGAATCCAAAGTTGCTCTCTCATTAGTTCAGTGGCAGCGTGAAGTTTCCCTGATGATCTCGCTATAGGGGCCCTAGTTGTAACCTCATACTGAAAAGAGCACTATTACAGGGCATTACAGATTATGTCCTTCAATAAGCCTTTGTGTGAGCTCACAGTGGCTCTTCTTCACTCAGTTACACAGTCAGGTGTGTCATTTCTGTCGGAGTGGATGTTGTTTGCGCATCAGACGGGTGTTCAAGGTTTCTGTCAACACGATTGTGACATGACAGCAACTGTGCAATTGTCCAAGAAGAAATGTTATTTTGAAAAGTCATTGTAATGATAGTCACAATAGTATTAAATTACAATATTCTTTATTCAGGTAATTTACAGCACCACTAGTCTTATTCTTTACTACACTGTGGAATGTGAATGCAACGCACTACAGCCATTTTTCTTTTTATAGAACTACCTTCGTTGCATGATTTCTTTATGAAAAATTGTCATGTTCAGTATTGAATGTTAAGTTAAATACTTGTTAAAGTACTTAAATTATATGTATTTTTTTCTTGTTTCATTTATGTTACTTAATGTACCCAGATGTATGAGTACTGTATGAAATGTCTAATAAAAACATGAGCTGGCGCACACCCCAAAAAGTTGGTAAAGGAGCTGACTAATGACGAGTTAACTCTAGGCTATAAATATAAATAGAGTTGCACACTCTATATACAAGCTCCCAGTAATTTATTGGGTAAAGCACCAACATTTTGTCATCACTGTGCCTTCTTCAGTGTAATGTAATGAATGCTTGAACCAGGTTATGTAGACAAACAGTGCAATTAATGCAACCAATGACAATAGTGAGGGGTGTGTCATAATTAATAGGGTGATGAGAATTTACAAAAATTAAACTGTTAAAAGACAATAGTTTACAACATGTTGAATATAAATTATATGGCTATTGCAGTGGAGGCTACTGAGGGGAGGACGGCTCATAATAATGGCTGGAACGGCGCTAATGGAATGGCATCAAACACATAGAAACCATGTGTTTGATACCTTTCCACTAATTCCGCTCCAGCCATTACCACGAGCCCATCCTCCCCAATTAAGGTGCCACCAACCTCGAGTGCGCTATTGTTATATTGCAACGTAATTAGATATTATACATACATTTAGTATTAGCATCAACATACATTATTATTGAACTACATTTCATATACATATTTAATTGTTTCTTTCATTTAATCTTTGTTACATGTCATCTTTTGGTTCAACCGTAATGCATAATAAGCATCATCAACAAAGGGAACGTCTTGGGTGCACGCTGATAAGTTGTTGAAAGAATATGTTCATTTAGTAGACTTGTTCATAAAAACGGAGACTTGTTCATAGAAACGGCCTGAGGGCAAAGTCAATGTTCAGACCACTAGGGGTCAGTGTTTTTAGATAGGATATCCAGTAGGCCTCCCTCTGTAGTAGCAGGGTCTCGACGTTACATCCTCTCCTTGGTAGAGTAACATGCTCGATACCTGTGTATTTGAGGGAGGAGATCAGATGGTTAGCTTCAACAAAGTGAGCTGCTACTGGATAGTCAGTGTTTTACACCTGATTGAGCTGCGTTGTTCAGCTGTTAGTTGTTTTAATTGTCTATTCGTTTGTCCTACGTAGGCTTTCCCACGTGGACAGGTGATGATATATTTTACTCCCTTTGTCCCGCATGAGATAACACCCCTAACAGGGATTTTTCGACCTGTGTGTGGGAGTCTGAAAAAATATGTTTTGTAGTGCTGTCTCGCTGTGCACATGAGCCACATTTGTAGTTCCTATTTAAAATGGCTGCCAAGAGTGTCTGAGTGGGCAGGTCAGATCTCAATAGGCTGTTCCCAATATTGTGGCCAGGCTTGTAGACCACCAGTGGGGGTTCCTTGAAGAGGTGTGCATTTATTTTGTCTGATTGCAGAATATGCCAGTGCTTTTCCAGGATTGCTTTCATTTTCTACGAACACTTGGTGTACTTAGTGCAAAAGACTGTTGTGTTATTTTTCTTCTTTGGTTTAGTTTTTAGCAATTCCTCTCTTGTTTTTATTTTTATTTTCATCATCAAGAGTTTTGTCCTTGTAGCCTCTCATTTTGAATTTGTCTGTCATTTTCTTAGCATTGTTGTCAAAATCTGACTGTTGGCCACAGATGCATTTAACCAAGCACAACTGGTTATATGCAAAAATGTATGCACACATGACTGTAAGTCGCTTTGGATAAAAGCGTCTGCTAAATGGCATATTCATTATTATTACTTTTATATGGTAAACCATTCTTAAGGGGAAGGGGATGCACACTGTCCACACATAGCAGGGTGTTGCGGTCTGTGGGCTTTGTGTATACCTCTTTGTGTAATGCATTATTCTCTTTAATGATCCATAAGTCCAGATAGTTTATTTTTCTCTCATCAGTCTGCATGATGAATTTGAGATATTTAGTGCTCCCATTTAGCAGAGTTTGGAATTCATTTAGTTCCTGCTGACTTCCTTCCCAGAGCACAAAGACATCCTTGATATATCTCTTCCATAGGATTTTAGAAAGTAGGGTGTGTGTGTCTGTTTTGTAAATTAATGCTTCCACAACTTGTTCCACATACAGATTTGTTGATGATGCTTATTGTGCATTACGGTTGAACCAAAAGATTGCATGTAACAAAGATGAGATTAAATGGAAACAATTAAATATGTATCTGAAAATAAATTAAATAATGTATGTCTATGCTAATATTCGGAACAAAAATATAAATGTAAAATGTTGGTCGCATATTTTATGAGCTGAAATACAAGACCCCAGAATTTTTCTATACGCAAAATGCTGATTTCTCTCAAATTTTGGGCACACATTTGTTAACATCCTTGTTAGTGAACGTTTCTCCTTTGCCAAGATAATCCATCCTCCTAACAGGTGCAGCATGATTAAACAGCATGATCATTACACAGGTGCACGTTGTGCTGGGGACAATAAAAGGCCACTCTAAAATATGCAGTTTTGTCACACAACACAATGCCACAGATGTCTCAAGTTTTGAGGAAGTGTGCAATTGGCATGCTGACTGCAGGAATGTCCACCAGAGCTGCTGCCAGAAAATTTGTTAATTTCTCTACCAATTCTTAGAGAATTTGGCAGTACGTCCTCACAACCGCAGACCATGTGTAACCACGCCAGCCCAGGACCTCCACATCCGGCTTCTTCACCTGTGGGATCGTCTGAGACCAGCCACCCGGACAGCTGATGAAAGTGAGGAGTATTTATTTCTGTAATAAAGCCCTTTTGTGGGGAAACAGTAATTCTGATTGGCTGGGCCTTGCTCCCCAGTGGGTGGGCCTATGCCCTCCCAGACCCACTCATGGCTGCACCCCTGCCCAGTCATGTGAAACCCATAGATTAGGGCCTAATTTATTTATTTCAATTCACGGATTTCCTTACATGAACTGTAACTCTGTAAAATCTTTGACATTGTTGCGTTTATATTTTTGTTCAGTACTTTGTACATTATCTAAATATGTTGCTATATATATAGTCTAATATATTCAACAAGCTGTAAACTAGTCTTTTAACAGTTTCATTTTTTTCCATTCTCATCACCTTAATAATTATGACACACCCCTTCACTATTGTCATTGGTTGCACTAATTGCACTGTTTGTCTACATATCCTGGTTCAATCATTTATGAAATTACCCTGTGATGCCAAAACAGTGGTTTACCCAATAAAATACTGGAAGCTTGTATATAGAGTGTGCAACTCTTACATTTTTATAGCCTAGAGTTTGTGTGAAATGTAAAATGTTATGGAATACATTTACTGAACTCTTGGTTTATCATTCAAAAGCATCTAGGCCTGTATGGCGTAAATCTTTCATGTTGGTTTAGACCAAACAATCTCCCCCATTTGTCCTTTCCTCCAACGATGTACTGCTCCTTGCCACAGGCTGGGTGGATCTTAGCCATCACTGCTGTCACAGTCAAGCACCAGATGGTTCTCTGGGTAATGGAAAATTCTGGGATGTAGTTCCAGCCGCTCCTGTGCACATGTCCTTGTCATTGATAAATGACAGTTGACCATTGACAAACAACCATAGGCCTCTGTCAAATATGTTAAGGTCAGTAGGTTCAGAGTAAATGTTAGCCATAAGATGTGACAAAATTAATTCCAGAAATCAAACATTTGTTTATTCAATAAGAGGAAACTATATCCAGGTACTATTCATAACCACAGAATGGGACTACATTTCATAATAGGCTGCATGCATTAATTAATTTTAAATGGGTAACCTAATGTCAATAGTAACAAAAAAAAAATGGAATGTTAAAAACAAACCAGACAAACATTTATACTAAAACGGCCTTCCTCTGGGAAGACTACAGGTGGACGACAATCCTCTCAATCAGCCGGGGTCTGTTTATCTTTATCCATCTTTCCCTAAAAAAATAAAAGTTTACATTTTCAATGCATTATCTATGGAATATTAACCCATAACACAAGCTAAAACAGATCCCCTAAAAAGTCCTGTATCTTTCCATTTGGTTGAGATTCCACAAGCATAGGTGATACCAGCTTAAATAAAACAAGGTTTCCCTTGACAGTGAAACCCAACGAATGTTGAGAATGTATTCTGGCCTCCAAGGTCAACTACACTTTCTTACAAATACGCCACACCACAAAGTATGATTCCTAAGACTGACTCGTCATAGTTGAAAATTACCTTAAGGTTCATGTAATGTTCCTCACTGCTACAGTGGACTGATTTGGCTGTTTTCTCATTGGTGTAGAAGATGTTGCACAGTTTGCAGAATAATCCAGTCCTTGGTACCAGATAGTCTAACCCTGCAAGTAAAAGGAGAGAAAAAAACACAATAATATAATATATAATATGCCATTTAGCAGACGCTTTTATCCAAAGCGACTTACAGTCATGCGTGCATACATTTTTTTTGTGTATGGGTGGTCCCGGGGATCAAACCCACTACCTTGGCGTTACAAGCGCCGTGCTCTACCAGCTGAGCTACAGAGGACCACAACATGTTTGTGTTCTGACGATATGGCACTAAAATATATTTATTAGATCCCTGTCACTCGATAATAAAAAAAAGACAGCCACACAAACAGAAGTCTGTTTTTCTCTAGCCTCTTACCAACAGGGTTGTCAGGTTGATAAGGACCCAGAGGTTCCTCCTGCTTCTCCTCCTCCTCCTCTTCTCCCTCCGGGATAGCTTCCACACCACTGGCTTCCTCACCCTCAGGGTCCCCACAGACCCCCTCACTGTCAGACACAGGGCTCTGGACATCCTGGCCATACAAACACAATCATGTCTATCACTCATTTGTTCTAATTAGCCTGAGACCAACACCAAGAAATATCTTCACTCTTCTCTGTGTGAAGTGCATTGACTGATTACTTCTTGACTAACCGGTAACTGTAAAAGGATTGTTCACGAACATGTCAAAATTAAATGCATAAATAATCAGCTAGCATTTAACTAAAAAGGCAACCTTTCACCTTGTTTAAATTAAGGAAACAAAAACATAGCAAATAACCATCTCTTTCACTTCTGGAGAGGGGCTTTTGGCTGACTGGCCATTGGTCTTTTCATCTCCATGGTGATCTCTTGATCTTCTGTTTTTCTGACCGGCCAACCACAGCTCATATTTGACTGGTGGTTTCCTGGATCAGAAGAGCAGAATACAATGTCATGCAGTACTACATCATGAAAGTGTACTTAGATACAACCCTCATACAGTCCAGTTTAACCATAGATCACAACATTATTTATCAGATAATTTTATTGGCTGTATATTCTTCCAATAGATTCCAATCAATTAAACTGGCAGTGGACATGGACTGAATAGGATACTAGCATTCTTCAAATTCCATTTAGTCTAACTATCATTTCCATCTACTCTACTGCATATTCTTAGGGGTCATTGAAAATTATTTACCAGTATATTAGTGAGTCTCCCTTTTTGCACAAACTGACCCTTAACAGGGTACCGTAAAACTTGTGTGGACGTTCGAAGTACTTCACCATCTTCTGTGCGGCTTCCACACTCTCCAACTGGATATAACACTGAAAGAAGAATAAAAATCCATGTGAGAGTCCGTTATCAATAGAAAAACAAACTCCCCCCTAAAAAATGGGCCGGTGAAACTTTACCTTTCCATGACGCCAGTTCAAATTATAGCCAGTGATTTTCCCGAAAGGCTGGGCAAGTCGTAACAGAGAGACGTCCGAGTACTTCTGGAGTGGAAGCATACAAATGTAGATGGATCTCCCACTAGGACTCTACATTGACAGAAACAAAGTCACATTACACATAGTATGCATCTTTGTGTTACAAATATTGACTATGCTAGGTGTGTAGTTGAGTTTATAACTAAATTCTTTCATCAGATGCATACTACACCATTTAGCAGACACCAAACCCACCTCCAACTTTTTCAGTGAAAAGCACATGCTAACATCGACACGTTTCCGCAACAACTGTCCTTTGCCTTTGTAGAATTTCACCATTTCACGTACTTCCTCTGTAGTTTCAAGCTCTAACCATGCCTGAAAATATAGAAAAAGCTCAATGTCATAAAAACTAGGACAGCAAACGCTTGCACAAATCAGGGGTTGAGTAAAACTCTTTCCTGTATGCCAAAATACGTGAATGTCAAATTGTTATTCACCTACGACAACATTATTTCCATCCCATAAAGAAAACTAGATAAGTACCATTCAAAATAAAACACACTGATCCCCAAATAACATATCTGCAAGTAACATAACTATGAACATACCTCCTGTCTGACGAAGGATATGTAATGGTTGACAACTTTCACATTTGCCCGCTCTGCCAGTTTCAATAGGGCCACCTCCACGCTTCCATAGCCCTTTCTAATTGGGCTAATTTGGACAACTTTTCCATCCTGTAGAAAACAATTTTACTGAGCAACCTACTATCAATAACGTTGGATAAAACAACTCTTCTACACTTGACACATTCCAAGTAGACGTTTCTAAATTTGTCGTTTTTGGAGGAATACCAACCCATGAAGCATCCTTTGACTCTGCAAATAAAAACAAAAGTAATTATTACTATAAATGATGATCTGCAGATTATTTTCTTAATGTGTTATCCACACAGGCTAAACCGTAATAATTGTTATGTCCTTTGCTGCCAATAAATAAATGTTTTGCATCATTCATTGCTTACCCAGCAATGTGTCCCCTCCAGTATTGTTGTCGAGTTCATCCAATGTAACAAAATCATCCATATTCTCTGGGAAATCCATGTCATCCATATTGTCCTGTTGGAAATAAGTACAGAACATCAATAAGTTAATTCACGAGTTTCAAGTTCCACAGTGCTGCACCAGAATCATATCAAATCTCATGACAAATACTTGTGAGGTTGCAATTGGAAACTGTCAAAAGCGGCTCAAACACTGAACATAAAAGTATGCAAAACTGTATTCAATAGTCTTGAACTATGATATAGAGCCATGTCTCTTAAAACTAGGAAGTGAACTCTGTGGCTGCACTATTACAAAGGATATTTTAAGCTGTCATTTGTTATTCAAACCTCTTGGTCAGTCCAGGTTAACCATGTTAGGGCTGAACGGATAGGCATGTCTACTGATCCATACATCTACAATGTTTGGCTGACTTTCGAGTGCTTAAGCACCTGTTCTGCATTACTACTGACAGTCTAGGTTTTCTGGAAACAATTGGAGCTTGTACAGAGATGTCTCGATCACCTTTGATATTCAACCATGGAATATAAAGGAGACCCTTCAAAGCTTATCTCCATCTGATTTGTAGGGCACTCATTAAACTGATGGAATTAATAACCCCTGAGCACATCATATACCCTACATACAGTGCCTTCAGAAAGTATTCACACCCCTTGACTTTATCAACATTGTTGTCACAGACTGAATTTAAAATGTACATTGTCAAACAATACCCCATAACGTCAAAGTAGAATTATGTTTTCAGAAGTTTTTGCAAATTAATTTAAAATTAAAAGCTGAAATGTCTTGAAGTCCAATAAGTATTCAACCCTTTTGTTATGGCAAGCCTAAATAAGTTCAGGAGTAAAAATTTGCTTAACAAGTCACATAAGTTGCAAGGACACACTGTGTGCAATAATAGCGTTTAACATGATTTTCCCAAATCTCTGTACCCCACACATACAGATAATTGTAAGGTGAATTTCAAACACAGATTCAACCACAAAGACCAGGGAGGTTTTCCAATGCCTCGCAAATAAGGGCTCCAATTGGTAGATGGGTAAAAAAAAAATGACAAAAAAGAGAGACTATCCCTTTGAGCATGGTTTAATTATTAACTACACTTTGGATAGTGTATCAACACACCCAGGCCACTACAAAGATAGGAAGGATGCCTCTATCTCAGTTGCCAGAGAGGAAGGAAACTGCTCAGGGATTTCACCATGAGGCCAATGGTGACTTTAAAGCAGTTACAGAGTTGAATGGCTGTGATAGGAGAAAACTGAGGACGGATCAACAACATTGTAGTTACTCCAGAATACTAACCTAAATGACAGAGTGAAAAGGAAGCCTGTACAAAATAAAAATATTCCAAAACATACATCCTGTTGCAATAAGGAACTAAATAATACAAAGCGTTGTGTTTGGGGCAAATCCAACACATCACTGAGTACCACACTTCATATTTTCAAGCATGGTGGTGAACGCATCACGTTATGCGTTTGCTTGCCATTGTGAAGGACTAGTGAGGTTTTTTTGGGATAAAAATAAACGGAATGGAGCTAAGCCCAGGCAAAATCCTAGAGGAAAACGTGGTTCAGTCTGCTTTACAACAGACACTGGCAGACAAATTCACCTTTCAGCAGGACAATAACCTAAAACACAAGGCCAAATCTACACTGGAGTTGCTTACCAAGACGACATTGAATGTTCCTGAGTGGCCTAGTTACAGTTTTACTTAAATCTGCTTGAAAATCTATGGCAAGACTTGAAAGTGTCTGTCTAGCAATGATCAACAACCAACTTGTCAGAGCTTAAATAATTTTTACAATAATAAATGTGCAAATATTGTACAATCTAGGTCTGAAAAGCTCTTAGACTCACCCAGAAAGACTCGCTGCCAAAGGTGATTCTAACATGTATTGACTCAGGGGTGTGAATAATTCTGTAATTTTTTCCATAAATTTGTTTTCACTTTGTAATAACAGGTATTGTGTGTAGATGGGTGAGGAAATCAAATTTTCATTCAGGCTTTAACAGCAAAATTTAGAATAAGTCAAGGGGTATGAATACTTTCAGAAGGCACTGTACATAGTGTGCTATGGTACCAAGCAAACTCAATATTCCAACAATCCATGACTCAAACCAGCCACTGCTGACATGAGTCACAGAAAACATCTTGACTGTTTGTCTAGATTGATGAGGTTCAATCTGAAGTTTCAGGAAAAAATTATTTGCCACTGAAACCTCAGCCAGATTTCAGTGGTTCTAGGCATAATATGGCCACATCTGTTTCAACTGATCAGTGGAGGATCTCAACCAAACTACATTCTCAGCGAAGCTCCCAGAACTTCAACCAAGTTGAAGAGTTGAAGCACACATGCTTTAAGAACCCATTGCTAGGAACCCACATCTTGGTTACTTGACAAACGTATTTTCAATTATGAGAACAATAAGCCTTTCTTTGTTGGTTCCGGTCACAAATATGAATGACAAGAATTTCTTACATCTTCATGAAAGCTCTCCTTTTCCATCATGTTCTCCATTGAGACATCAGCATCACACAGAGCTGGATCATCGGCAGCCTTTATGTCAGAAGCCTCCAAGGTATTGTCTGCCAACAGTTCTGAGATTTCGGGTTCCCCCTTATCTTTAGAATCAGCCACCAGAGAGGCACTTTTGGAAGGAGCAGGGTTTTTAGTATCAACACCACTTCCAACCTCGTCATCTAACAAGCTTTGTTCAGCTTTCACCTGGACGCCCTCTTCGTCTAGATCTTTGTTTTCCAAATCAATGTCCTCCTCCTTGATATCCTGCTTGATCACTTCCTTGACCTCCTCTGAGGTAATTTGTTGATCTTCTCCTTGTTCCAATACTTTCTCAGTAGGTTGTTTGCCTGTACTGGGTTTCTCTTTGTTCGTGGAGTTTGAGGTCTTGCTGGTCTCCTCACTCTTGTGTCTGCTGCTGCGGCCTTTACTGGAATCTGCTCTTCTGGATGTGGTGGAGTCAGGACTTTCTCTACAAGGCAAAAACCATTGAGGTAAACTTCCCTGACACAAACTTCCTGATGAGTCCCATAGCCCCAGTTGAAGGACTCTTACTTACCTCAGGCGCTTCAGTGACGATGACAAGAATACTTTGACACTCTTTCCATTGATCTTGAGGGGGTTGGAGTGGTAGTACTTCACCATAATGTCAGCATCTTTCCAATCTACCATCTCAATCAGGGCCTGCAGATGAATAAGGGAGAATTCATTAGACAAAGCTAGAGAAGGTGCTGCATAATGGAGGTTTTGGTGTTGAATTGATCTATTCTAGTCATACAATCCCATGCTATTCAGAATTTTTTATTGTTTTCTATTTGAAATCACCAGAGAAATTTGCAGAATTGAATTGATCACACTTCAATTCCATATTGCGCGAACCTTACCTGATCACCTGAAAATGTTGAATGCCGCACATCCCCAAACATCTTGGCGAGATCGAGAATCTCTGGTTCTCTTTCCTTCCCAGGAGGTATGCGGGAAAAACAAACCACTGTATTGGTAACTTGTTTGGTCTGCCGTTTTTCTGGTGGTTCATCCAACCTTGGCGGCTAAAGGAAAAAACAAGCTCATACTGGGATCTCTGTGATTAAGAATACAGAATCTCAAACTTTTAAGAGGCAGGTGCACTTACATGTATACTGCACACCATAGGTGACAGGTACAGAATCAACTTATTTCCCTTCACGAACGCTTGCTTTTCACTGAAGTGATTCACCATATTGACTGCCTCTTTGTGCGAACCAAACTCCAGGAATCCCTGTAACAAAAATACAACACTGAATCATCCAATAAACGTTCAACTACAGATGTAACTTTTTTTGGGTTGAGATAATGTTAAAAAATAATAATAATAATATGCAAAATTTAACTTTTTGGGCGACCTGACCAAATTCACATAGAAATGAGTTATAGATCTGTAATTCTCATTGAAAGCAAGTCTAAGAAGCGGTAGATATGTTCTATGTGCCCTATTTCTATGCTTCCCGTGCTTAAGTTTAGTATTTTACGTTCGGTTTTGTACACCAGCATCAATCAGCTGAAAAGACAACATTGCTGGCTATTGAAAAGATATGTCACAGCGGTTTAGATGGCACAATGATTCTCTACACTATACTTGCTCGATTTGTCACATAAACTGAAATTAGGCGAACTATTAGAATTTTAGCAACCAGGAAATGGCGGAGCGATTTCTGCATAGTGCATCTTTAAGAGATGAGTGCCTATTCCTCCGTAAAAAAATACAAATATAAGTGTGTAATTTACCTTGCAGGGGAACACCAGATGTTTTACAACTGTGCCGAATGGCTTAGCCAAAGTCATCAAGTCTTCAACACCAACAGAGCCAAGGGGAAATTTTGTGACCACCACCTTCGTGCCAGCCTAAAGCAAAACATAATCACACATTCAAGCACGCAGCTTTAAATAAACAACATCATAAGTAGCCAATTAAAAATTATCTATTTATAAGAAAACATTGCCACAAAAGGGACATAATTACCTTGGGCTTCAAATGGTGTCTTTCTGGTGCTGACCAGACTTCACCTAAAGATGAAAACATGAAAGGAGATAGTATTTATTTTGAAGTGGTTTGCAATTGGGCCTTATTTGGTCTGGATCAAACTTGATTTTGGAACGGGACTCGGGTTATGACCTCGTACGCGGTCTGAGCCATGTTGTCTCTTGTAAGGCATAGCAGGACGTGGCATTTTTCTGGGTGGTGAAATAGCATCTCTACTTGGGATGGAGTTGGACCTGGAAGGTAATGTAAACAGTGCTAAGTAAGATGAGGAACGGCTAATGGTTTAAATCATGACATGCCTATTTTCAACATAAAGATTCATTTCATGCCCCTCACATTTCCCTCCCGGTATCACGTATTTTCCAATCTGGATATCTGTAAAAAAAAAAAAAGAAGAAGAAAAAAAGAAATAAAACCAGGTAACAGGACATATCTCAATTGATTTTTTGACCTGTATCAGTCCATTTTCTAAATGTTTCACTTTGCATGGAAACACTTACAGACGCAAGAGTTCTCGACAGCCCTCCACATGGCGTAATCCATTGAGATGATCCTTCCATGTCTGTGAAAAAAGCAAACTCATATTAAGCAAAATGAATGCCATCATGGAAGGTTGAGTGTTCTGATTAAAATTATATAGCTATACAGTCCAACTGCAAGAGTATTGAAATATAACAAAGCTTACCTTAGAAGAATTCAACATGCAGAAGCATAGAGAGCATGTGTGTGGGTAAATCTTGGGCACAACTCCATGAAAATCATCCACTTGATAGGAGAAAGGAAACTTTTGCTGGCTGTCGGATATTTTTCCCCTTGAGGACCTAGTGTGACGGGAATTTCTCCTTGCCTCAGTCCGCTCTGGTCGACTGTGAATCTCCACTCTCCTATAGTCAGTGTCACAATGGCTGTTGGACTGGCGAGGGACTGTAGGGGGACTGTCCCGTTTGCTGCGGTCTCCATCATCTGTATCCTCCTGCCGGCTGTCTCTCTTCGGGGAGGCCTCTCCCTGTCCCTCTTGCTTGGCTCGTTTGGCCTTCAGTTGCATTATCAGATAAGGCAAAGTCTCCACACTTATCTCGTTCTCTGGAATCTGGGCCAGAGCATCCACGTCTTCTGGAGAGAGCCCCAGAGTGGCATATAAATTCATAGTGCTCATCACTCCATCACCAGATCCTTGGTGTGCAGAGCTGTGACCCTCACTGTCCTCCATCCTCAAACCTCCAGGGAACAGAGAAGTTTATTCTGAAATTGGGAAAAAAACGATGTTCCGTCATTTCAACTGATGTAACTAAAGCAGCGTTTCCCAAACTCAGTCCTCAGGACCCCAAGGGATGCACGTTTTGGTTTTTGCCTTAACACTACACAGCTGATTCAAATTATCAAAACGTTATGCTTAGTTGATTATTTGAATCAGCAATGTAGTGCTACAGCAAACACCTAAATGTGCACAGAGTTAGAGAAACCTTGAACTACAGCCTATGAACATGTCTAGCTAACTCAATGGTTGGGTAAAACGTGTGTAGGCCTTAGAAGAGCCTTCGGAAGAAAGTATCCTTCCCACAACTGTGAAACTGATCTTCAATCATTCAATAATTAGTTAGTCTTCATTTGCTGTGAGTAATTAGATGTCAATTGATGTCACTCATTGAAATAAAAATAAGTTTCCCAGCCCAGAGCAACATAGTTGCAAGCTAGCTACAGCGGCCTTCCTCATAACAACAGCCAGTTGTTGTTAACTAGCTAACTATGCATCTTCAGTTCGGCAAAACGAAGCACAATATATTCTCACCCCAATGAAAACATGAGTTATCAAGTAAGTACCATGTAGCTATAACGTTACTGCATTAATGGCATTATTGTTAACTTGTTGCACGCACCGCTGGAGAATGCCGCCTTGCCGTCCACAGCCAGGAAGCTAACTTAGCCAGCAAGAAGCTAAGCATAGCTTTTAGTAAATATAGCAAGATATCAGCGTTTCGGAGTGAATATTTATGCATTAGGTTCAACTACTAGCTACATGGAAAATAAATTGTGAATGCTGTAAAACATACCTTTTAAGAAGTCCCCTTTCAGGTATTTCGTAAAATTTGGTGGCTACAGTCTGGCCAAATTTATTTATAACTAATCAATCTACCAGCGTCTCGTCAGCGACATTAAAAAAGTAGCTACTCCCTTAACTGAATTTCGAATCTTTTCAAAATAAAAGTCCCCCACGTAATTACATGAACATTTATTTATTCATTATATATGAAAAATAATTGTCTAAACATTAACTATGATCCATATTTAAGTGACATTTGCATTAAATGTGGATTTTAAGACATTTTCCTAAATTAAATAAATGCACCCAATGCATATTGGTATATAGAGAAACAATTCTGTAAAAGTGTGGTTGGGAATAATCAGTGGCCTCTGTAGAATCAATATATGGTGTTATTTAATTGGGGTGCTCTGGTCTAAATAAACAGCGACACGTTCTACTCACCCACTCCATAGCTCCCAATGCCTATAAATAACTTATTGGTTTATAGAGAAAAATGTATTCTATGTGCCGATGTAAAAGTGGGGTTGGGAATACTCAGTAGGGTCTGTACAATCTATGTGTACGGGATAATCAACAAGGGGCTAGTCTCTAAAGGCTTCATTCATACATAAACGATATTTAAATCTGAACTTGTTCTCTAGCAGATTAGTAAAAATGGCTCACCCAGTGTTCAAGAATGGCCTTTTCCCCTTCATTCAGATTACAACATCTCACTTTCGGTTATTTGAAAATGAAATAATCTCCAAAATGTAGCTATTTTTGAAACAAGCAATAAAAAGCTGGTTGCAATTTGTACCCAAGAAAGCAAATGTAACTGAACTAAATGACTGTCGACCCGTAGCACTCACTTCTGTCATCATGAAGTGCTTTGAGAGGGGCTCTCCAGCGGGTGGTGCGGTCTGCCCAACGCATCACCGGGGGCAAACTACCAGCCCTCCAGGACACCTACAGCACCCGATGTCACAGGAAGGACAAAAATATAATCAAGGACAACAACCACCCGAGCCACTGCCTGTTCACCCCGCTATCATCCAGAAGGCGAGGTCAGTACAGGTGCATCAAAGCTGGGACCGAGAGACTGAAAAACAGCTTCTATCTCAAGGCCATCAGACTGTTAAATAGCCTTCACTAGCACATTAGAGGCTGTCCCTATATACATATATTAGAAATCACTGGCCACTTTAATAAATGGAACACTAGTCACTTTAATAATGTTTACAAATCTTGCATTACTCATCTCATATGTAAATACTGTATTCTATACTATTCTACTGTATCTTAGTCAATGCCGCTCTGACATTGCTCGTCCATATACAGTTGAAGTCTGAAGTTTACATACACCTTAGCCAAATACATTTAAACTCAGTTTTTTACAATTCCTGACATTTAATCCTAGTATAAATTCCCTGTTTTAGGTCAGTTAGGATCACCACTTTATTTTAAGAATGTGAAATGTCAGAATAAGAGTTGAGAGAATGATTTATTTCAGCTTTTATTTCTTTCATCACATTCCCAGTGGGTCAGAAGTTTACATACACTCAATTAGTATTTGGTAGCATTGCCTTTAAATTGTTTAACTTGGGTCAAACGTTTGGGTAGCCTTCCACAAGCTTCCCACAATAAGTTGGGTGAATTTTGGCCCATTCCTCCTGACAGAGCAGGTGTAACTGAGTCAGGTTTATAGGCCTCCTTGCTCGCACACGCTTTTTCAGTTCTGCCACAAATGTTCTATAGGATTGAGGTCAGGGCTTTGTGATGGCCACTTCCAATACCTTGACTTTGTTGTCCTTAAGCCATTTTGCCACAACTTTGGAAGTATGCTTGGGGTCATTGTCCATTTGGAAGACCCATTTGCGACCAAGCTTTAACTTCCTGACTGATGTCTTGAGATGTTGCTTCAATATATCCACATCATTTTCCTTCCTCATGATGCCATCTATTTTGTGAAGTGCACCAGTCCCTCCTGCAGCAAAGAACCCCCACAGCATGATGCTGCCACCCCCAGTGCTTCACGGTTGGGATGGTGTTTGTGACGAGGTGTGAAAGAAGGAGTCAGGCGCAGGAGGAAAAATACCGAAGTCTAGAGTTTAATCCGTTTGCATAAATCAAACGCCCCACGCTCTCACAACAAAAACAAGAGCTACACGCTCTCACAACAAAAACAATCACTCACAAACAGGGGGAACAGAGGGAACACTTATACACATACTAATTAGGGGAATGAGCACCAGGTGTGTGTGATTGACAAGACATGACAAGTGGAGTGATGAAAATGGGATCGGCAGTAGCTAGTACTCCGGTGACGACGAACGCCGAAGCCTGCCCAAACCAGGAGGGGGGGGGCAGCCTTGGCGGAAGTCGAGAGCCAGACCCGATACCCCGGTACGAACACCGGGGCCTCCCTGCGGTGGCGGTCAGTGTTGGCCTTCTGACGATGCACGGCGTGCTGGAGGCGAACGTGGGCAGCGTCCCAAGTCTCCTCCGTGCGCCGAAACCAGTCATCCACCGCGGGAGCCTCGGTCTGGCTCTGGTGCCACGGTGCCAGGACTGGTTGGTACCCCAAAACACATTGGAAGGGTGTTAGGTTAGTGGAGGAGTGGCGGAGAGAGTTCTGAGCATATTCTGCCCATGGCAGTAACACCGACCACTCCCCCGGCCGGTCCTGACAGTAGGTCCGCAGGAACCTACCCACATCTTGATTCACCCTTTCCACCTGCCCATTGCTCTCGGGGTGAAAACCAGAGGTCAGGCTGACCGAGACCCCCAGACGTTCCATGAACGCCTTCCAGACTCTAGACGTGAACTGGGGACCTCGGTCGGACACTATATCCTCTGGTACCCCGTAGTGCCGGAAGACGTGAGTAAACAGAGCCTCCGCAGTTTGTAGGGCCGTGGGGAGACCGGGCAGAGGAAGGAGGCGGCAGGACATTGAAAAGCGGTCCACAACGACCAGGATCGTGGTGTTACCTTGGGAGGGGGGGAGATCAGTGAGAAAATCAATACTCAGGTGAGACCATGGTCGTTGTGGAACTGGTAAAGGTTGTAGCTTACCAGTAGCTTACCAGTTGTGGGAGGTGCCTAGGTGCCTTACTCTGGGCACACACTGAGCATGAGGAAACATACACCCTCACGTCCTTAGCCAAGGTAGGCCACCAGTACTTCTCGGTCAGGCAGCACATTGTACGACCGATACCTGGATGACCAGAGGAGGGTGACGTGTGTGCCCAGTAGATCAGACGATCACGGATAAGCGCAGGCACGTACTGCAGCCCAGCTGGACACTGCGGTGGAGATGGATCTGTGTGTAATGCCTGCGCTATATCTGCGTCCATCGCCCATACTACCGGCGCCACAATGCATGAGGCCGGGAGTATTGCGGTGTTGTCTCTGGGCCTCTGACAGTGCGTCTGCCTTCACGTTCTTCGTACCCGGAATGTATGAGAGTGTGAAATCAAACCGGGTGAAGAAGAGGGCCCACCTGGCCTGGCGAGGATTCAGCCTCCACGCTGCCCGAATATACTCCAGGTTACGGTGGTCTGTCCAGACGAGGAAAGGGTGTTTCGCCCCTTCGAGCCAATGTCTCCACACCGTCAAGGCTCGGACAACAGCCAACAGCTCCCAATCACCAACACTGTAGTTCTGCTCCGCCGAGCTGAGCTTCTTAGAAAAGAAGGCACAGGGGCGGAGCTTGGGTGGCATGCCCGAGCGTTGGGATAAGACAGCTCCTATCCCTACCTCGGACGCATCCACCTCCACTACGAACGGTAGTGATGGATCGGGGTGAGCCAGTACCGGGGCTGAGGTGAACAGACCCCGCAATCTACTGAATGCCAAATCAGCCTCAGCAGACCAGCGGAGCCGGGACGGCCCACCCTTCAACAAGGAGGTAATGGGTAATGGGAGCTGCGACCTTGCCAAAACCCAGAATAAACCTTCGATAGTAGTTGGCAAAGCCAAGGAAGCGCTGCACCTCCTTTACCGTGGTTGGAGTCGGCCAATTACGCACAGCTGCAATGCGGTCTCACTCCATCTCCACACCTGTAGTGGTAATGCGATATCCGAGGAAGGAGATTGACTGCTGGAAAAACCTACACTTCTCTGCCTTGGCATAAAGATCATTTTCCAGCAGTCGGACCAGTACTTTGCGAACCAGGGACACATGCTCGGCGCGCGTAGCAGAATACACCAGGATGTCATCGATGTAGACCACCACACCACGACCAAGCATGTCCCGAAACACCTCGTTCACA